TAATAAAAGTTAACAATAACGACTAATTTTTCAAATTTTAATCCAATTTTAATCTCTACTGAACACGCCCTTAATATGCTTTGTAAATTTAGCCTTCACATCAGATCTTTATTCTAAAAAAACAAACAATGCGATAAGAATGAGATCCGACCAGTCTATTGGAACGAATTGGGGGGCTCTTTTATTCAGTCTTCTTTATTGCTCAATACAGTTTTGAATATTTACAATTTTTACATGTATATGAATGGACAAGTTCTTTAATCTGTAAATGATTTGATAAATTCTTCTTCCTCTTAAGCTTCAGCAATTCTGATGAAACTTCCTCTAATGTCTTCTTGTCAATAACTCAATTGTTGGCTTTGCCAAAACTTCTAGGAAATGGAACAGCATCTCTTACATCATTGAGTCCAGTGGCATAAAGAACCAATGAATCAAATAAAAATGTGAAACCCGAACATTTAGCGGTTCCATGCCTGCGAAGATCTAGATACCATTCATACTGCTCTTTTGCCAATCCCATTTCATTGATCCTGCAATGATTTACAAAAGAATTTTCTTACGTTGGAAGACTTCAAGAGGAGGATAATCTTGATTGTTTCCGAGTAAAGTTCTCACCTTGTACTTAATACACTGAAGCGTTCCTCATTTTGGCTTCCTCTTATCAGAGTTCCAACCTGAAATTATTGATATAATTGCAGCTTGGAATAAGTTAACCTCTCAAGAAATTATAAAAAACAAACACCTACTTGATTTGATCAGAAAAACGTATGATTTGTTCAAACCTTGGGTACAATTACGTCGAATGCTGCCACCGTTTTTCCATCATCGCTCAAGCGTGTGTAGAAAGGCTTAATTTCTTTTGGGTGATTGTATATGATGACTGGCTTTTTATACATTTCCTCTGTTAGGTAGCTGCCACAAGAAGATTTACAAGGAAGTTTAGCCTTACATGTCCCTCATTAGTACCATTTAATCCACCTTATAAAACTTGCAATCATTGTACAAAAAGATCAAGTAAAATCTCCGTAGCTCCTGTACCTACCTTTCATGTTCTTCACTTAGAGAGACGCCCCATTCGACTTTTGCTTCAAATTTCTTCTCGGTGACCTGATACCAAACCAAAATCATAAGTTTGTGACTTTTGTGTTATTTTGAGCTGTAAAAATTCAGCCAAGTGAATTTAGAAAAAAACTCAATGGAAGATATGCCTTATTCAGAACTTCAATAGCCTCAGTGTAAGAGATCTTTTCAACCGCGCCAGTTGCAATCAATTGAAGACGATCCACAATGGTATTGTCTATTCTCTTTGAGACAAATTTTAGATCTTCAACACTATTCTCTAAAATCCATTTGCATATGAACTTCAAAAAGTCATTTGCACAATCCACAGCATCCTGAAATTCCACAGAAACGAAGGTGACATATTTTTAAATAGTCGAAACCATTTCATATAGAGGGAAAGCATACCTCTAATTCTGTGAAAGCCATTTCAAGCTCGACCATCCACGCCTCAGATAACGATTTCCTGGACTCTATTCTGTTTACTCGGAATCTTGGTCCAAAGGAATAAACGTTTCCCAAAGAGCACGCGTAACTCTCCAAATGAAGGCAACCAGAAACTGTCAGAAACGTCTGGCATGAAAAGAAATCTTCAGAAACCTTATCTTTATTTTCAGTCCTGGCAGGTTTTCCAGATTTTGCCTTTTCTTTTGCTTCCAACTGAGATACGAGCTCGATTGTTTTCTTCAAATCCTGAATAGCAGCTGCCAATGCTTCTTTATTGCTATCTGTTCGTTTAAGTTCTTCGACCTGCTTTGATTTTTCCTTGATCGAGGCCTTCATAACTTCAAGTTTGACACCTCCAGCATCATCCGCAGTACTTTGGTTCTTTATCTTTCCTTTACCAGGAAGAGTAGTCACTTGAAAGATCTCGCCTGTTCCCTCACAATCAGTGCTTGTTATTATTGGCACTTGCACGTAAAGGAAGTTATTTTCTTGGAAGAAAGTATGAGTTGCTTGTGTAAGAGCACTTCGGATTCTCATAACAGATGCTACCTGTGAAAATTTAAGAAAATTCTTGAAAACCTAAGATTTCAAAAGATAAACTTCATAAGGTACTAAGGGTGCAGATATTACTGTTGTTGTTCGTGGTCGAAATTGGGCAGAATCCCTCAAATTTTCAAGGGGCAAACGTTTCTTTGATAAAGGATATCTGTCCTGATCAACTGTCCCAATATGAAGAATTTTCTCTGCTTTGAGTTCAATAATTTGCTTCCCCTGCATTGATGGTTGCTGCAATATACCTTCTGCCAATATGCAAGTTCCCGTAGGCATAATTCTAGCAGGAGGAGCTAAGGACGAGTCTACCACAACCTGATCGGTCACATAAATCGTACCAGAAATTTCAGTTTCTTGATTGATCTCCTAAAGATGGCTTAAAAAATTGTAATAAGAGAACAAATTTTGATCAATTGTAAGGATCTAATTAGGTCTACCTGAAGACTAGCAACACAAGAACCATCACTGACTTGCAAGATTGCAATTGAAGGCTGTGGTGGCCTAGGAAGAACCGTATCCAACTTATCACGAATTATTTGCTCCCCACCTAAAACCTTCAGAATACTCCTCAAAAATGGAAACCGGGATTGAAGAACTTCCACACAGGTTACATCTCTATGCACTCCAGCATCTGGAGCCACCACCACAGGTAGTGTCACGGGGTCTTTTCTTACCTCCCGGGAGGATTTTACCCACCCTCCAACCACCACTCTCCTGCCAATGAACCCCACACCACCATCATTTTGGCCTAATACAGATTTCAAAACTACCCTTTTGGAGTACTTTGAAAGGACCAACTGTGTTTCCATTGGGGCTTGTTCCAAGGCCATTTTTGGACGAGAACTTTTAGTTGAAGTAATATTTTGTTGGGCTTGTAGTGTTGAGGAATATGATTGAGTTAGAATTTATATGAAGTGAAATTATGCTTTGCTTAAGATTTATTCTGTGGATCACAAAGAGGAAGATGGAAGAAGGGATTGTTGGGAAATTTGGGGGAGAAGGTAAGGGATTGTTTCTGGGTATTGCCATCTGCAGCAAGCTTGGAAGGAGAGGCATGGACAGGGGCTAGGGTTTGGTATTCTTGATAGAGAAGGAATTCGCGGGAGTTTTCATATGTCAACCACCTTTTAAAATTATATTTTTATGTTTATTTTGATGCCAAGTAACATTTGTTTATTCTAATTTCTTAGCTAAAAAAATAAATTGTCAGAAAAAGTTACTTATAATTCCACGTAATCTTTTTCTTGTGTGCAATCATGATGAGAAATGACTAATACTTCAAATCTTTTTCTTTAACCTATGGTGAAGATCAAATCAATGAAATTTTCTAGTACTTCAAAGAATTGAAACTCAATGCTCCTATCAATTAAAAATAATAAACGCCAATTAAATAGTGACAATAGTACTAAATTCAATACTATGGGAGTACTAAATTTTTTTTATTACTCCCTTGCTCTTAATAAGCATTTTTTATTCAAGATTCACCTTCAAAATGCAATTTGAGAAATAATTTTCCAGCATTACGCGCAAAACTAGATTGAACTTTATCCCCACCGCTGATGTGGCAACGCTCTGAATAGGAGATCAGTTCTGAAACTAAAGAAAAGGTAGAAAGTTACACACAGCTGACAACAAATTTCAGCAACTAAAAGAGGTAAATGAGTTCCTTCCCATTTATTAGTCCAAGAAAGTATTGATTTCAACCAAACTCAAAACACCGCTCAAAGGACACCAACATGCTAGAAAGGAGCAAACATTCCATTCAGAAAGCATAGAATAAGTTGCAAATTTATAGCAAGAATAATTCACTTTATATGGACAAATTACGTCTTTCTTCCTTAGACCATTGATTCTTTCCAACAGAGTTTTGTGTCAAAATCCGGAATTCTCGAGTAGCTGGTTTCTTGATGAACAAAAATTTGGTACAGAAATTATAAGTGCAGCCAAAGCTAGCGGGTGCAAATTTATATGTCTCTTGGACGGCACTGGATTTGTGGTATCTTCCCTCTTCTCAATGGAAGCGAGGGCGACAGAATTGAAGAAGTTCGATATTTGACATGTCCCATTTCATATCAGTTAATTTACAAAGAGAGGCGCGTATAAAGTAATCATTTTGCCAGGATGTTCTCCTCCTACGACGATGAAGGTGGCGATCTTGAAGATGCCATTGCCGCATGATAAGATGACAATGCAAGTTGAGCTAGGGCTGGAATGGCACCACCTGCACAAATTCAAGTCCATCAGGGAAGACATTAGAAAGGATTGAATCCCCTTAAATTCAGATTTCGTTCATGCAAAAACATTATTTATACGAAGCTCATGCTTCTGGGACAATCAATTTCGTTAATCCAACTCGGGATTGTCTTAACATAGAATACTTCCAAGAGAAATATCAAATATGTCTACAGACGTATCAATCTTGTAAGATAGATAGGAGAAGTGGGGTTTTATGTAAACTTATTTCTCTAGGCACCATGCTGTAGTAGGTCACTGGCATATTCTCTGACAAGAACTGCTTCAGAATAATTTACTCTCTTATATTTATCAATTCAATTCAGCATTATTTCTTCAGATTGCCAGGTGTTTTGCAAGATATTTAGAGCTGCACATAATTTAAGTAAATAGAATTGACATTCTAGAAAGAACTCCTACCTGCCAACCCAGCACAACCTGAAGAGAAGACAATCACAGGTGGGGCCTGAATCCGCAAAAAGGTTGTGACATAAGAAAAAAACCAAAAAAAAAAAAACACGGATGAAAATGGAAAAACAACAGAGACTAAGCGTATGTTTGGCTCATGATTATAAACTGTTTATATACGCTCAATTCACTTTTTATTCACACATTTCGAAGGAAAAACAAGTACTACCCACTTATCTACCACATATTTCTATCTATTTATAATTTAAACTGCTAATAAATAATTCTCAGACATACTCTAAATTCAGAATGACATAGTTCGACTCGTATGATAATTTTGACAAAATAGAAAATTTTACAACCTATACAGCCATTTATTCATCTATTATAAAACTAGAACCTTAACTTTAATCTGAGCAAAAGAAATGAAAGGGTCAGTTCACTGTCCTATGAACGGTACATTTCCAGATCATACATCTTCAAAATGCATGTATGGTGTATATATGCCAACAATACTTCCTTCCTGTATCTTTTTATGTAAAGACTAAAGACAACTAAATAGAAAATAATAAACATCAAAGAGCATCATCCACTGACTGCCACAAAAGAATGTCAACAAGCTACCTAATCTTGAAAAATGAAGCGACATGGCAATTGTACTCTCCCTATCTTGTTTACACACAAGGAACCAACTCAACTAGATCTTCTTCCTCTACTAATATCCAGTGAGATACCTTCAGGATTAAAACTATTATTATATCTTGTCAAATGTTAGAAGAAACAACTTGAAGCATAACTCTATATAATGATCAATGACTGATAAACAAATGTGCAAAATCAAGTTCCAACTACAAGGCCCCCGGCCTTGGATCTAACTGCTACTATCCAGTCCCAGGAAACTTTCAGATTATCCTGTCATACCTCTCTGCTCTTACACTGAAGAATAAGGCATCTTCATAACAAATCAATAGAATACACCTATATATCTGATAAGGTTCTACTTTGAATACTAACTTCCCCTCAAAAGGAAATTCACCATTTCACCAGAGAAACTACAAATATGATATGTTTGAAGCGATTAAGCACAACAGATTATTTAAACTTCAAAAGCATTTTCCCCACACCAAATATCCTCTCAAACCTGCCTCCCCTCACCCATATCAATTCTCAAAACCTAATTCATGGTATATTCCACATTCAAGCAGAGTAAGCTTCGTGTTAGTATCATGCTCCTTTAGAGAGTAGTTGGAGTTAATTATAGAAAAGAATAACTAATTTACGCATGCAATGGCATATGCACAATAACAACGCACTTCCTATAAACCTAGAAAGAAGGGAAAGATAAGGAGAAATATGGTTCAAAAAGGAGGTTGAGTTACAGGCTCAGGGGGGAAAATGAGTATGAGTTGGAAGCACTTACACCAATGAGAAAATGCAACCACATAGGTCCTTTGATCCACTTCTGAACAATTGGCATGGCTGCAGAAAAATTACAAAGGAAGTATAAAGTCAGTCTGGAGGCTATGATCTTTCACACATGATATACATCCAAGTGGAATAGAATGCTCATACACAAATACCAAGATATGAAAGTTTTGAAGAATAACATTATCCAAGGGAATAGATGGCAGAAAGCCAGTCAGATGCCTGCCGGTATCTATTATGATTTCATTGTTTTACTTTATATTTATTAATCGGATTACTGTTTACTCATCAAAGACAGCGAAGAAAGAAACCATGCTTGCTACACCAACAATTGAAGACTTAACTACTGGGAAAAAACAATGGAGAAATTATACGTCTATAGAATGGCTAGCATACCATGGTTGAAGCCATAAAAGGCCCCCGCAGTGCCACCAACAGCCGATCCTATCTAAATCAGCAAGAAATTTGGCAGAAACGCTTAATAAGGTACTCAAAATGCATAAATTTACTATTCAAACAAGCCATACCATAGAAAAGCTATCCCTAATTAGCGGCGGAACAGTCCACTCACTGGTCTCCTGCAAATGAAAATTCAATATTGAGAAACTGCGTAATAGAGAATTAGAAAAAATAAAGAGTAATAATTTTTACCATCTCTTTGGAAAGGGGGCCGGCGCAGTGTGGGCATCTCATGCTTTCAATATTGCTTCTTCTTCTACTGGCTTCAAGGTTTGATTTTTCCGCCATAGCTGCAATGATAAATATTTACAAGTGGAGATTATGCATACAGTCGATGCGTGTGTATACTAATACTCGCACTACGGTAGAGCGAGAGAGAGAGGGGTAAAGAGAGAGAACGGTTGAAGAAGAAAGAATGAAAATGGGCCCATGGCCCAAGGCAGCCCAGCTCTGTGTTTGTTAAGAAAAGAAGAGAATGGCCCCAAAAAGGAGGGACGCTGACCTAAATCGGAAACTTGAAAAAATGACACAAAAAGGGATACAATAACGGATTGTAGCACTAATTGTCCAAGAAATGCTCATCTTAACCCCTTACCACAACATAGTCCCCTTCTCTAGAGAACAGAGGAGAGAAAATGGCTTCTTCTCTCATGGCCTCTCAAACCCTCACCCTCCGAAACCCCATCAATCTTCTCTCACACCACCACTCCCCCACTGCTCTCTCGTACCCCTCCGCCCATAATCGCCACCTACTTCCTGCCCTCTCAAAACCCAAAGTCCTCTCTTTCTCCCTATACCCAAAACCCTCAAAATCAAGAATCTGGGCCTCCGTTTCGGCACCACTTGCAAACCCAGAAATAGAATCTCCTATAACCCGAAACCCATCTCATGATTTGCTCTTCGGGTCGACTCGGACACTAACAACTCTCTTGGCCACGGCCCTAATCGCCTCAAAATTCTTGGCCTGCGGACTCCTAAACTTGGCCGTGCAATTGAAAGCACCCCTGGTTTATACCGCTGGCCCTGCATTTTTCGCTGCGATTAAGGACGTCCCTACCGGGTCGTTGAACACGCCGTTCACGGTGGTAGCTGCCGGAATGGCGAAATGGCTGGATATTTACAGCGGGGTTCTGATGGTTAGGGTTTTGCTCAGCTGGTTTCCTAATATTCCCTGGGACAGGCAGCCGCTATCTGCAATTCGGGACCTATGCGATCCGTACTTGAATCTTTTTAGGAATATAATCCCTCCAATTTTTGATACACTGGATGTTAGCCCACTTCTGGCATTTGCAGTTTTGGGAACGCTTGGCTCAATTCTGAACAGCAGCAGGGGAGCTTACTGAGTATTCTCTAAAATTTTGTAGTGTTTGATCATGAAATTACGTGCATTTACGGGTCTTTTTGTTGGGGTGTAATAGTTTTTGTAGCATTTTTGTTATAGTTACACAGAACTGGGTGAATTACTTGAAATACTTGATCTTTGGATGGCTTCAAAACTCCTGCATTTGTTACTCATAAATTACCTGTTGCAAGGGAAATTCTATTTTCATTTAACTTTGGTTTTGGTTCTGGTTCTGGTTCCATTTGAATGAAGCTTCTCCTGAATTGGTTAAAAATTACTTTGGAACAATAAACCATCTTAGACAGTCTTACCATATGATTCTGGTTCCGTTTGTCTGAAGGTTTTCCCAAATTGGTTAAAAATAACTTCAGGACAGTGACCCAGCTTAGGCAGTCTCGTCATTTTATTTTGGTTCTGTTTGTATGAGGGTTCTTCTGAATTGGTTAAACATAACTTCGGAAAAATAAACTAGATTAGACATTCTTGCCACTCATGGTCAATTGAGTTTTAGATGGATGTAGACCAACCTCTATGCTAGTTGTCTATGGTCGACATAGATTCTACAAGGTGATATTAACATAGGTTTAGGAGTTATTTGAGAAGTCTCATTATTTTGATTTTCATCAATTTAAATTGTTTTCCTCTTTGTTGATGACATGTTATATCTCATAGGGAGACATGCAATGATTAACACTTAGATTAACTCATTTAGGTGGAACTAGGGATTTCTTGCTAGTGTTGAAGAATACTGGGACTTCTGATGAAAACTCTTTCCCTCATTGACTATTGGCAGTTCATCCACTCTTGTTACATGGCAATTGATTTGTATTATTAAATTTTTGTTGCTTGGGAGGATTAAATAATACCAGATGAATTCTAAGGAAAACAAACTAAAACTCTGTTCATTATAATGTGTAATCTTACCATATACTTCTTATAAGGTTTGAGATAATTCACTTGTGGCGTTTATAGACTAATTCTTGACCTTTCTTGTAATATTCTTTAGCTGTTTTATAGTTTTAGAAGTTCCAGTTGTGAGGGAGACTTCTCCTTGCTGTTTTTACCTATCAAAAAAAAAGTTGTGAGGGAGACAGTTGTGAAAGGTTTTTGGGTGATCACTTCCTTTGCATTGGGTTTTGAGTAATTTTATTTATTAGTTACTTAAGTGAATTTTTTCCAATTTGAGACAGACAAATAGGACACCAAGTAGCTATCCCCTTTTTCTTTCTGCATTAAACCTTGTTTATCCTTCTGGGAGATTTCTTAATTTTGCACATTAAGTTTCCAATATTCATCCTTGTTTTTGAGCTAGCTTGCAGTGATTCAAAACACGATTCCTATATCTTCGTCAAGTCTCCTATTTCTATTGTGTAAAGTAGTAAATTATTCAAGTGTAGTTTCTTGACTCTTATTATCAGAAAGTCCAAGTAAAATGTGTAAGGATTACGGTTGACTTTTACTTCATGCATGGAGAACTAGTTGTACTGGAAATTTGTTAGTTTCTTTCCAAGATCGCTCCAACTCCTTTGGATTATGGAGATAAGACTATATAAAACATTTGAGGAGATCAGATTTTTCTTGTATTTCTCTTAATTTGCTCAGGAACTAAGCTACTACAACTATGTATCTTATTTTTCCTTCTCTCCATATGATTCAGTCTACTTATATTTAGGGATATTGGTTTCAGGAATCTTTTAAATTGCTTTGGTAGTGTCTGACTGAATAAAATCTTACTAACCAACTTGCTTAAGGATTGCTGGAAAATTTTAGTTTAGAATGCATCTCTATATCCTGTATCATGAGCTATAGATATAACTTCTCGCTTTCAGGTGTGTACTGCTGCATGTTAAATTAAACATGTTAGCAATTGATATGTCTATTATTGTATGAGACCAAGTTATACTTGAAACTTGGTAATCTCATACCACAGCGTGTATGTGTGTAAGAGAGAAAGCTGGTGAAGAGAAAAATCTCAGTCTCCAAGAAATTGACCAATCGAATTTTACACAACCTCGGTGATTCCAGTCGACGTGAAAGGAGAACGACACCACAAGGAAAGCCATGGGCCTGCACATGAACTACATAACTAGAGTGAAGAAAGCAGGATCTAGACAAAATTTCCTTTTCCTTTCAGCTATGCTATTTTGATAGAAACAACATGTATTTAAACCAAACCAGAGATCGGGTCATGTTCTCCATATGCCAATATACATGAGCACCACGTAATCCATCAGAGGCATCATGAGAAAAGTTACTAGGTTTTTCTGAAGTGAGAAGCGTTGGCTGTTCATCGTCAACACCCTTGCCTTTCTTTCTTACTTAACTTGCACTTAACCTGTTTCTCTAGCAAATAACTTGGCATCTGCAGAAAGCTCCTCTTAGTTTCGCTTCACGGGAATTCGTGCTGTCCCTTGAAACTGATACACAAGTTACATCTGTGAGTTTTGGTTTGAGCCCTTACCAAATGTCTCTTAATATGATTTGAGTATCGTATCAAGATTTGATAATGAAGAATCATTTAGCCGCCTATCGGTATAATCCTTGTTTCCCAAGATAACAGGCATCCTGTCTATAAAATAACACAAATAAACAATGTTTAGAGTCAGACGCATCACTCAGGTGCTTTACAGATGCAGAAATTCCGAAGTTGCATGCATTGCAGTCCTGTGAATCTTGGACAAGTCTAGCAGAAGCCATGCAGCATTTCTACCATAACATGGCTGGCATGCACCATACTTAATGGCCAGAGTTCATAAGACCGACTGTTATATTAAGTGGGCTTTAAAGAAAGTAACAAAAACACTACAAACCATGGAGCCGTCACAGAGCTGACGACGACGTAGTCACGATAGTGAAGATATACACGACTTCTCCTGTATAGAGAAAAGAAAAGGAGAAACAGGATTAACTCTGGGGATGTATTTAGGGAAGAGTCTAAGAAAGCATACAAGATCCAGTAACAAAATTCACGTCAGTTGTTCAAAAAAAAAAAAGTATTTACAAGTTAAAAAATTGTTTTAATTGGTATTTCACTTTCTGGATTTTTCCAAGAATCGAATAGAGCAGCAAAGACCAGGGGCGACCATTCCTAAAATGTACGGAGTAAGGTTGCTTTCGAGACCCATCTTTTTTCCATTCATTCTGATCGCATAATTTGTGCACATCAGGAAAAAAACAATTAACTAAATAAAACCGAAGAAATATAAAATAATCAACACCTAGTTAGCAATCTTGTCAAATATTTGTTGGCCAGATGAAAATCTATTGCAGCTTAGAACAACCAAAATTTCATCATTTCGTCCGAGTGCAGGGTCTGGGGTTTGTTCCATTCACCCAATATACAGGATTATGTGATTAAGGCATTAACATAATTGGTATCTGCTGAGAAAAAAGTTTGAAGAAGGAAATATGGACGAAAAATAGAGAACAAGAGCAACATCAACAACTAGAGAGACTACTAGATATGGAAACACTTGCATAGGACATTCTAGGTGTGGCAATCAGCTCAACCCTTATAATCACGAGCTCAGCTCGTGCCCCCAAAATATGGGCTCAACTCGGCCCCGAAGTTCTTGTGCCTCGCAAGCCATCCATGAGTTCAAATGAGCCGAGTCACCCTCGACTCAAAACATGTTGAGTCGAGCTGTCCACAAGCCGGTTCGATTTTTGAATTGTAAATTAATAAAATAAATTCAATGGGGGCATATTGCGAAATCTTTTCCCACGATCATTGCTTGTACATATTGGGAAGTAAGCAAATTTCCTATGAAATGAAAGTGATTCAGTGGATGGGATTAAGATTCCAAGGGCTTAGAACCTCTTACGTAAGGATCGACTTAGGCCCAGAGAATGTCTCTCATTGGAAAATTTCCTTATATTATAAAAAAGTTAAAGAGGCGGAAGAAGGGAAAGGGTGGAAATAAGAGAGAGAGAGAGAAGGGAGAAA